ACCCCAAAACCCCAAAACCCCAAAACCCCTAATTCACCAATAATTTTAGGGTTCATAAAATGCTTCTAGCAATCCTAATATGGCCTATTTGTGTTGGCTTTAGCAACTTGGAGAGGCATTCCAACTGCAAACACTGCTCTTGGGTTCAAGTAATGCCAAGGTCTCCCTGGTGTGAAAGGTCTCTGAGCTCTACTAGAGTTTTTACCAATCTTCCTTTTTAGAGTTTTTTCAAAATTATTTTTTGATTTATTTCTAAAATATTTATTTTTATTTACCTTGATTTTGCCTGATCTTTAATACAAAAATATAAGAGAAAGTATAGTTAGATAGAGGTTAATTTATTGAGTAAGAAGATAACTAAATAATGGAAGATACTTCTAATTTATATGAAAATGGTAAGAACACTTACTCTTGTTGATATGGTCTGCACGGCCAGAGTTGTTTAATAAAGTAACATATCCCAGCGAATAGCATTTGTCCATATCTGCCTTTACTTTACTCAATTCTGATTGAAAAGACTCCATCAAATTGAAAGGAGCTTTCATCCTATAATATATGAAAAATGCGTATCTTTATAGTTAAAAATATTCCCTATGGTTAAAATATAATTTATGTTGATAAAATTTGAGAAGGATTGATAAAATTTACCTTCCCTCAAATCCACACTAAATCGTTTCAAAACTAATGAGACCACTCCTCTTTTCAGCCTCAGGGAGAATACTCAAGTCAGAACCTTACTTTTTAGGTATAAAAGTCTGATGTCTATGTGCTGATTCTAAAGTAAGGATTAGCATAATTTAAAAGCCTTTTAACTTATTTTATTTCTGTCTGAATTCCTTTTAGCCTTCTTTAGATCCTCTGTTGGGTTTTGTACACTCCTTTGGAACCTCTTTGCAAGTAAGTCTAAAGTTTATCCTGAAATTACTGATACTTCTGTTATTAGGACCTTTGGTGAGCTCCAATGATTTGTTGTAATTCCCTGTTACAAGGTTTAAACGTAATCTTACTCTTTTTAAAGCCCGAATTGGGAATTTTAAAAACTTTTCCTAATAGCCGGGTTTTGGTCAACCTAGAATTGAAAGGACAAGTACTTTTTCATTTGGATAGGATTTTCATCAGAACTAACACTTTTGGCAGGAGACGAAATTCCTGAGGAGAGTCTTTTGACAAGACATTCTTGGAATCCCTCAGATTGATCAAGATTTACTGACTTTTCTTGAAATAATGGAGTCATATCTTCTTTGATCTATTGAATATCTAGGATTTCATACCTCTGCCAAGTTGAGATTTCTCATTGGAATGGCTGAGCTCTCTAAAAAATTGATTGCAAAATACTTTGAATCTTATCTGCTTTGATAAAGTTAGGACAGATTTCACTAGCTTTGGGATTAAACCTATAATTATCTTGTAAGTTTACCCCTTGAACGTATCAGTGCTGTTGAATCTTCCCCGTTTAGTTGAGACTTGCCGTTGCTATAACAATGTATTTGAACAATACTTTGGAGATATTTCTGATAGTATCGGTGGACTCTTTAGACGAAGAGATCTTCCTGCTTGCTTTCTTCAATCAGTTCCTCGCTCTGAGTGTAGACATTCTCTAAACCCACAAATATATCAGTTATCATCTCATTAAAATCAATCCCTAAGCAGTAATAGCCCTCAAAAGCAATCCTTACCTTAATCGAACGAGGTTTTCTATTGAACCTTGACCTCTTCAGGCCTATATTCCTTCCTGGTTTATTCTTCTAACACATCACACCCCAAAGTGCTTACAGGTGCTCAATTTCCTCTCTTATTACCTTCAATTTCCTTATTTCTCCCTACTTAATAAGTCAATTTTTAAAAATCTCTAAAGAATTTGGACTTTTGAAGTAAATTCTTAAGAAATTACCTTTTGATGAAAGCACCTTGTTGGCGATCAGTTTCCAGGAATTTTGTGATGGGTCGTCGTTAAAGTTGATGATTGGGGCGTCAAATACTGGAGGGTTCTCGAAGAGTTCGTTAAGAGAGTATTTCATGATGGGGTTATGACCCTCAGGTTTGTCGTCTTTATGGCCCACTAAGGAACTAACTGACGACTGGATGTCATAATCTTCTGGGTCTAACCTCAACGGTGGGTTTTTCTTCATTTTCATTAACGATTTCGACTTGCCCATTTGTAGATCCTACACATATTATGAAAAATGTTAATATTTTGTCATTTTATTTCGGTTCATAATTTTCTTTATACATGATGTCTAACTTTGTTTCAAAATTGTACTGCAAATGAGCAACCGGTGAACCAGTCAGTATCGAAGAAGTAGAAGAGATATCTAAAATATTTCCAGAACAAGTTGTGAACAAGGCTTGTTTTAAGACAGCCTGAGTTGAGTTTTTGAGGTTAAAATTACCATTTTTGGGAGATATTTAATATTTATTTTAAGTCTTGAGTGGATTTTGGAGAGATTAGGGGTTTTGGGGTTTTGGGGTTTTGGGGTTTTGGGGTTTTGGGG